GACGTTGAGATGTAATCCATACCGAAGGCTGTGCTCTTTGATCTTCATCAGTAAATGTTTTAAGTCCTCTTCACTTTCAGCAAGCAAGGTTGTATGTATCATCTGCATATTGCAGGTTGTTAATGAGTCTTCCTCCAATCCTGATGTGAAGTTTTTCTTCATATAACTCAGCTTCTCGGATATTTGCTCAGCATACAGGTTGAATAAGTATAGTGAAAGAATACAACCCTGTCCCACACCTTTCCTAATTTTAAACCATTCAGTGTTGCCATGTTCTGTTCGAACAACTGCCACTTGGTCAATGTACAGATTCCTCATGAGCTATCAAGAAATATATTGGACACTTTACAAGCTATCAAGAAAATTTGGACACTTTACAAAGTTGTAGTTTGTATTAATTTTATTTGGTAAATTATTAAAGTTCACATTTTTCTATTTTAGTCAACTAAATTGAAGAGGCTTGTTTTATAGTTTCTGTAAATGTATGAAATAATATTTATAAATATTCAAATGAAGAAATGTTTTCCCCTTAGGATATATTTATATTTGATGAGAATTTTATTGAATTTATATACAAGAGTAATGTTTGCTACCCTTATTTAATTTTAGTTCGAGACAGAGTTCGGACAAAGATGGAGAGGGATATACTGGTAGAAGTACATCATCCATTTATTGTCAAATTGCACTATGGTATGTAATCTTTGATTTTAATTTATGAAACCAGAGAACTAATATCTCCTTACAGACACTGGAGCCCGGTGGCTCTGTAGAATAAGCATGGAACACGAACCATCAAGTTAGCAGTTGGAACCTACCAGCTACTCCAAAGGAGAATGATGAGAGTTTCTGTGCCTACAAAGATTTAAAAAGCCTCAGAAATCCTATATAGTGTTGCTGTGAGTCAGAACTGACTTGATGGCACTTAACAACAATAGACAATAACATAAAATGGCATAAATACTCCAACACTGATTCAGTATATTTTACTATGTAAATATGTCTTTCTGAACTAAGTATCAATATTCAGCTTTTAGCTATATTTCCTTTTTTTTTTTTGTCTATGTTGCCTAACTTGTCTTAAATAGCAGGATGGAAATTGTCTTCTGCTTACTTGGACAGTAAACTACACTCACTCATCATTTATCAACATGGTTAGATTTCAAAGACCTGGTTGTTATGTGAAAATTGTCCTGCAAAAATGGAGGATGGTGGTGGTGGTTGTGTGACGTGGAGTTGGTTCCAACTCATCGTGCTCCTGTACAGGGTTTCCGAGGCTGTAAATCTTTATGGGAGCAGAAAGCCTCATCTTTCTCCCAAGGAACAGCTGGTAGTTTTGAACTGCTGACCTTGCGGTTCACAGCCCAATTCATAACCAGTACGCTACCAGAGCTCCTTAAATGGAGGATGACCACATCAAATCACAAAATAACAGCTAAATTACATTGTTACATACTATTTCATTTCTTCAAAATTACGCTGTTACATAACTTTCACAGTACTGAGAATCATTACCGCACCACATTGACACATAACCTTAACCATCACAGTCAATGTTACTCTTACTGACAAACAGATAGACAGTAATGCACAAAACTGTCAGAATTTTTACAATGATCATTATTAAGAAAAAGTCACTAACCAGCCTTCCCATGGCACACTCTACTCAACTGTGTTAGATAATTCATTTACAATGGTCACACAACTCAGAAGACATGCTCAGTTGTGACATTTATTAGGGACATTAACAGGTTCCAATTCAGGGTCAGAAATGCTCAGCATACAGTGTCCAGTTAGGAGAGCCTCTCTCCTCAGCCATGCTCACAGATTGGCTTCTCTCTACCTGGCCAATGTTACAAAGCTCCATTAAGATTGCTGATAAATGCTCACATGGCAAATTAATCCAACTTAAGCCTCAATCTGAAAGTACTTGACTGTAGCTTTGTGAGTCAGCAAACCTAGCACCTACAATTAAATGCCTAGTGCAAGCAAGCCTCCTGCCCCAAGTCACTCAACTTTATTGTTCTGTGGGCTGGGAAGCCCACTGCACTGTATCATATTCTGGCTCTTGGTTTTGCTGCTATTGCTCCTCTGTCACTGCTTTGGTGTCACAACTTTCTGTCCCTAGGTCCAGGAGGTTCAATACGAAGGGTTTTGGGGGTCCAAAAGACATACTCAACTCTTAGCTCTTCTTCCTTGATGGTATAGTGAGATTCCCCTGTTTCTGAGATGGCTTATTTTATGCCCAGACTAGAGTTCCAAGTTTTCACAATTACAATTAGCACTGTTAACAATCATTCACAACTGAATGAAAGTATCTTGTCAGTATCTTCTCCCAACTTTCTCTTGTTCAGATCCATCAGAAAAACGTCATTTGGTTGGAGTTTACAAAGACCATGTGTACAGGAGACATTAAGGAGTCCTGGTGATGTAGTGGGTTATGCATTGGGTTACTAACCACAGGGTCAGCAGTTCAAGTTCACTAGTTGCCTCTCTGGAGAAAGATGAGACTTTATGCTCCTATAAAGATTTACAGCCTCAAAAACCCAATATAAAGTTGCTATTAGTGGGAACTGACTTAACAGCACACAACTACCTCCACCACCAGAAGAGACATTAAGTAATTCACTGTACCTTTAATAATGTGAGGATAAGTGAGAAATAAGTATGATATGATGAGTAATGTAAAAGATTCTAATGTTTGGATATGTTACTCTTATATTCATAATGCTAATATTAATCATATTTACTGGTTCTGTTGAAGAGGGTTATGTAGATACAGTAGGCTAGTTGAGTTATTCTTTATTATGCTTAGAAAAAGAATGCCAGTAAGAAGCAGATGATATAATGAAAGTTGCATAGAGTCAAACAGTTATGACTTTGTATCAAAACTTCACTGCTAAATAATTTAATATTTGAAAGAAATTGTGGAGTTTGGTTTCCTTATGGAACTAAAAATTTTTTTACTTTTGTTGTTAATGTTAAGTGCTGACGTCATTTCTCACTCATAACAACCCTGTATACGGTTTCCAAGGAGTGGCTGGTGAGTTTGAAGCAGTTGAGTGCTTATCCTACAGCATAATTAGTATTATCATATTTAATGACCTCCATCCTTGTATCTACAATACCCAAGTACATTAATTCTTTTTAATTTTTATTTATTTTTATATTTTTATTATGAATTGAGTGGTAGTTTACATGGGAGAACATTGATTTTTACACTCATTGTTTCATTGCAATGATTACAATGTCCTCTGTGTATCATCTTTCAGCAGTATTTGCTTCTATTCCCTCTGGGTTATTTTTTTGTGTGTGTATGTGTTTTTTTTGTTTTGTTTTATGTAGGAGATGTACATAAAAACACTCAGGAATATATCATCATTTAAACAACCAAGGGTCACATATTGCAAGCCTGCCTCCTGCCTCCCAACACACAGCCTTTCTCTTTCCATGAGTCTAGAGTCCTCAGCTCTTCTTATCTCTCCATGTCCTCATCTCTGCCTCTTCTATTCTGAAACTAAACTCCCTTTTGAAAACTTGTAAGCCAGTCACTTCATGCCTTTATAGCCTCCCCACCCCCCACATTTTAGGTAGCCAGTGTCTAAGTTGCCCATCCCTATCCACCCTATATACAGAGGAGATAGGAGTGATACTTGACCATTACATTAATTCTTACATAATCAGTACACATCTATTGTGTGTAAAACATTGTATTAAATGTAGTGGGCCTATAAAAATGAGACAATATAATTTATGACTTTATGGAATTTATAATCTGTAAGGAACACAGTCATATAAACAAATTAATTGTATATATCAAAATGTGATAAGTATCACAAGAGAACTATTAACAACACACAATGGCATCTCAAAAGTGGTAGCAATAACTTCTAATGGAGAAGCAGGTAGGGTGTAGTAATGGAATGAGAAAAGATGGAGTTTCTGGGAAGTGTATTAGAGGAGTTGGTATTTTATTGAGCTTTAAAGAATTAGAATGTTTTCAATAATTTGTAGAGGAAGCCTTAAGAGTTCACGGAACTGCACTAAGACATGAGGCTTAATGGATTAGGAAAATTATGGTGGCAAAATTTATGTTTAAAATCACAATGAAAGTTGTTTATATTCTGGGATGACGTTAACTAAGTTTAGCTTTGAGGTGATGATACTGAATAAAGGGCCATGTTTGTAGATAATTGTTTTACATTGTTTCCTAATAAAATTCTAAGCAGATATATTCATTTAAAACCCTAAGTTTTTTCTTTAAGATTATTTTGTTTCTACTTTCTACTTTCTAATTAGCCTTTCAGACTGAAGGGAAATTATACTTAATATTGGATTTTCTCAGGGGAGGAGATGTCTTCACAAGATTATCTAAAGAGGTGAGTATCTGTTTTACTATATTTTATTTAAACAAAATTAAGATGGATCATTTTGTTTTGCTATTTCCTTTTTTCCCCATAGAAATTTTAAATGGTGATTGTTTTGCTTTTTCATTGTGTAGTATCTAGTGGATGTGATAGCTAATGGTGTTTTCTTTCTTCCTATCATTTAAAACATCTCAATGTACTGCTCATTATTTTTATAGGCACAAGAACAATATAAATAACTGAATGGAATACATAGGGGCAAACCTAAGACTTTGGCTACTCAAGATAACTTTGGGAATAGTATTTAACTTATACATCTGTAAAACAATTTTATGCAGGTATTATTGACACAATTTGATAACTTTTAACATTTGTATGCATAGTCATAGAATCATGATCACACTAAAGATAATGAGTATATTCATTGCCCCTTTGTAATCATTCCTTTTCACCCTACCCCCAATGAATCTGCTTTCTGTGAATATTTGATTTGTATTTCCCAGGATTTTGTATAAATTTATAAATGAGAGCATACTATATGTACTCATTTTGTGTACATTTGTGAGTCTATATTTATTAATGAAATATCATTATTTTGTAATTTATCCATGTTGTTTCATGTGTCAGTATTTCATTCCATTTGATTTTTGAGTAATGTTCCATTGTATGGATATGCTACAATTTGTTTATTTATCTGTTGTTTATATTTTTAATATTACAAACAAAGCTGCTATTAACATTCATGTACAAATCCTTGTATAGACTGATTTCATTTCTCATGGGTAAATGCCTAGGAGTATAATGATTGATTGAGTCATATGATTTAAGTTTTATAGACACTTCCAAATCATTTTCCAAAGTATTTATACAATTTTCCAATTCCCAACAGCAGTGTATGAGAGTTCCAGTTGTTCCACATCCTTGCCAACATGTAATGTAGGCAGTCTCTTTTTAATTTTGGACAATGAATGTTTTGTTTTGTGCCATCAACTCAGTTCTGATTCATAGCAACCCTGTATAGGGTTTTCAAATCTCAGCTGGCGGATTTGAACCATGGAGCTTGTGGTGTTCAGTCCAGTAGTTATCCTACCGTGCCACAATAGGACTCTGGAAAATGTTATGTTGTTGTTGTTGTTGTTGTCAGGTGCCATCAATTCGGAACCGACTCATACCGATCCATGCACAGCAGAACGAAACAATGTCCAATCCTGGGCCAACCCCACCACCACTGCCATACTTGACGCCTTCAATGATGCCACTTACCTGATCCATCTCGTTGGGGGTCTTCCTCTTTTTCTCTAACCCTCCATCTTACTCAGCATGACATCCTTCTCCAGCAACTGTTCTCTCCTGACAACTTGTCAAAAGTATGAGAGAAGAAGCTTAGCCATCCTGGCCTCCAAAGAGCACTCTAGTTGCATTTCTTCCAAAATAGATCTTTTGGCAGTCCATAGCACTTTTAATATTCTCCTCCAACACCCCAACTCAAAGGCATCAATTCTTCTACAGTCTTCCTTATTCGCTGTCCAGCTTTCGCATTCATATGAGGTTATTGAAAATACCATGGCTTGGGTCAGTCCTCAAGCTGACATTTCTGCTCTTTAACACTTTATAAAGTTCCTGTGCAGCAGATTTGCCCAATGCAATACGTCGTCTGATCTCTTGACTGCTGCTTCCACAAGTGTTGATAGTTGATCCAAGAAGAATGAAGTCATTGACAACTTCAATCTTTTCTCCGTTGATAAGAATGTTGTTTATTGGTCCAGTGGTGAGGATTTTTGTTTTCCTGAC